GGAAGGAAAGAAGGAGAAAGAGAGAGAGAGAGAGAGAGAGAGAGGAGAGAGAGAGAGAGAAAGGAAGAAAGAAAGAAAAAGAGACAGAGAGAGAGAAAAGAAAAAGTAACCCAGAAAGAAAATGCTAAATAAATGACATCACTGCCCACTTCTCTCACAGCTGATGTCTCCAGTGCTCATGGCAGTCTTTTCCATGGAGCTAACGCAGTGTCCTTCTTAGAGTCCTTCTTAACCCAGCATTCCAGATAACTTGCGGGTAGAGGAGTCAAACCCTATTTGCAATCTCTATCTTGTAGCTATACTCTAATCTTTAGTTGGAAAAGAATCCGCAGCATAATTATCACTTAGCACACATAGCACTATTTGATAGTCAATATCATCACTCTCTTAGCCATGCTTAAGCATCATGCTAAGGGCTTCAAACATTATCTCATTTAGTTCTCACAATAACCTTATGAGGCAAGGACAACCAATCTCCACTTTATGATAGTTTTAGAGTTTAAATCTCAAAGTCAAATCATATTTCCAAGTATTGACTTGATAGTCCCTAGGTTCTAACATCTAATGGCATTTCATTCTTTAGGCAAAGGAATGAGTCCTTAGAAGAATATTCTAGAAAACCTTCAAATAGCAAATATCTAAGTGACCTTGAAAAAATGTGAATGCAATGAACAAAGTATATTCATAAAAGATAAGGAGGCTATGTAGTGAAAGTTTTTCAAGGCAGACAAGGTAGAGCTGAAATTAAGCCTCTAGATATAAATAAAGGACAGAAATATTCCATAAAAGTGTGCGTTAGGGAATGCAACAGGTACTTTCATCATACTTAATCTCCACAGCTACCCAGGAGATGAGTATTGTTAACCTCTTCTACAGAAAAGAAAAGCAATATTCAGCAAGATTAAGTTACTTTTCAAAGTCTCACATCTAGGAAACAGAATTCAAACCAGGTTACCTGAATCCAAAGCCTAGACCCACCCCAAAAATTGGCAACCTGAAAAAATGAATTAGTATCAGCCCTAAATGATTTTTGATTGGGCTCAGACAGCACTGACACTGCAATTCAAAGCCATTGGGTTTTACATTTTGGGACAGGCCTAGGTGTATGACAAACTCAAACACAAGATCTAAGCAACCTTTAGGGCTAAGTATTGAGGAGGAAAACAGTTATCTACACATGTGAACACTGCCTTATCCAACAGCTTTTTCTTTTAATCAAATATTTCTTCTCTCCACCAGGGCAAACTCTTTTCCTTTCTCACCCAAAGTACAGGTGCCAAGGGCCATCATCATTCATTTTACCTCATTGTGCTGTCATCAGACAAATCATGCTAGTGATTATTTCTGCTCAAGGCTTGCCAGTGAAAATGCACAGAAAATGTCAACCTTCCATTTCTCATCTTAAAGACGACAACATAAAATAAGAACTGAAATTCACACAGGTGAACCCATCTGTGCTAAGCATAAAAGCACAGTCTTCAGGATGAATTATTTCAGCATTTAAGCCTTTTGAGTCAGATGGCCAATTTTGTCAAATTATTAATGTGTTGGGTGTTTTTACTTTCTCTCAAAAAGAGACAATTCAGAAAGAAGTTCTCACTCACACCCCCTTGGAATCTTAAATAAATCTAGGGTTTCAATGGCTCGGTTTTCCTGACATTTTGAAAGCAATCTGGAGTTACAGACTTTACATCCTTTTTTGCTTCCTGTGCTTCATTAAAAACATGTGTCTCCTATTAATCCACTAACTAGTGGGCAGCTCCCCAAATCAAATATGGTTCCTCAACTTTTCCCACCTCCCTAGGATAAGAGCATTGGTCAAATTTCATCAAAATTCCAGTTGATGCTATGGATATTACAGGGAAGTGAGAGAGCACTATGAGGGGCAGCACTGGAAATGTTAGTTTTCCTATGGTTCGCCTGACCTTAATTTAAAAAAAATTTGAAAGCAAATATCTTTCTCTACATAAAATATTTCTCTAAATGGAGTGTGACTTACACACCAATAAAAAGTTTGTAAGTTTTTCCCTTAGCAAGCAAATTAAAAATATAGTTACTTTTATATGTATTTAAAGAGTATATTGTTGGATTTTTATTTTAGTATTTAGACCAGTCTTTTCAGAATTATTTTTCAAGTGTTCTATTTTATATCATGTATAATAAGTCTAAAAATTATGAGCTTAAATGTAAAAATTATACTTAAACATTATTACCCAACTTCTTATCCCTTAAATAAACACATTCTTTAGTTTTTATTACAAGAGCAATACACGCTTCTTGAAAAAGTTTTGCTAAAAAGAGAATAAAAAATAAAATTCATCTAGAGTCCACCAGAGTTAAGCTCTACTAATATTTTAATGTAGATGGCCCTGTCTTTTGTCTTTCCCTATAAATTAATATATAGATGTATTCATTGGTTGTGAGCAAAGGAAACCTAATTGAAGAAATTAATGTAAAAGGGGGGATTTATAACATGGATAGTAGGATGTCTCCTTGAATTCACAAAAAAATGGAATGCAGCCAGGTCTTAAAAACAGACTAAAATACGGCAGAGGAATTTGGAAAACTGGTTCTCTCCATCCTTCATCTCTATTTCCTCATCCTGTGGCAGAAAATGGTGAGCACCATCATCTTGTGATTTTAAATCTCTTCTATTCAAGGGAGCAGCCAGTCTAAGACTGGACCCTCTTGGTCACAATCCCAAAGCTCTCTGGGAAGAGAATAAAGATTTTTTTTTTTTAAAGGCCCCATCCTGATCCAATCAGCCATGGACAGGGGTGTGCTTACTTTGTATGAACATGACTGCTTCCATATCTGTAACCATATCTGTAACCATCAACATGACTGTAACCATATCTTTGAGTTAAGGAGGAACAGTAACAAGAAGAAAGGAATCAGTTGGCCAGCCAGGCACAGATATCCACCTGGAGTATTTTTATTTTGCAAAAGTAAAAATAAACCATACATATTGTTTTATAATTCTACCTCCTCACTTAATAGCTGTTGCCTAATGTTCAAATGGGTTTCCTTTATTCTCCTTTTGTTTCGTTACTGATCAAACTGTCTCTGCATGTTTGTTTCCCTAACACAGGGCTTTCCAATCTCTTTTACATTATGGCACACACATGGAAAATAATAAATTTGTTGCGCACTCAGTAAATTGGAATAAATATGAGGGCATTATCTAGAACTTGATGCAAAATATATTTTATTTGTATTATAAAGTTATAATTAAAAAAGGAAACAGTAAAAAAGTAAAATTGAGGAACACATTAAATATTGAATTTGTATAAAGCTTCTAAATAAAATATTATCAAGGCTTAATAAAATCTTGAGCTTGCTTCCACTCTTATTTATATCAGAATTTATGCTTAAAATATCTACACAAAATTCTCGATGAAAAACTTTTCATGAGGATATTTTCAAATTCTTTAAAGGCACTATAAACGAGAAACTTTGTTTCCATAGATTGGTGATTTAAAAAATTAAAACATTTTACAATTATTCAAAAATGTACACATTTAAATTATATATAAAGAAACTAACATCTTTCTTTTTATCTATCAATGTAATATTGAAATATCTTGTGATCAAGTGAATGAATTTTGAATCCATTTACATTTTTCATATTAAGTATTTCAAAATTATATATATACATATATGTGTATATATATATAATTGTGTGTATATATATACATATATACATATATATGTGTGTGTGTGTGTGTGTGTGTGTGTGTGTATGTGTGTGTAAGAAACTAACATCTTTCTTTTTATCTATCAATGTAATATTGAAATATCTTGTGATCAAGTGAATGAATTTTGAATCCATTTACATTTTTCATATTAAGTATTTCAAAATTATATATATACATATATGTGTATATATATATAATGCTCTAATTTTCATTATATGTGTATATATATATAATGCTCTAATGAGCATGTATTCTTGGAGAAGCCATCCTGAAGCTAGCTAAGTCATCACTATAAAGGACACTGTGCCATAAAAGAACAGAAGTTCCACATATATGTGAAAAAAGGGAGCTGTACGCACCAAGAAACCCCCATACTGGACCAACCTCACCTGAGACCAGTGCAGTATTCCTCCAGCAACATCTTGTTAACACTGGCTGCTGAAAGAGATATCCAGGTGATACGAGTTCCTCTTTGCCTGAGCTCTGCACAGCATGGCAGAGCAGATTGCAAATGAAGGACGATGCAATACCAGCCTGTGGGGACCGAGGGACACACTATCAGACCACTTCACTCTTTAAGGAGCCCTGGATGTGCAGCTCCAAGTCAAAGGCTATGAGACGCCAGCAGCCCCAGGTCTGCCCAGTCACCCCACAGTCAGAGGAGATGATCTCATGGCTCACCATTCATAGCACCTTGGCAAAGTTGTGGTTTAACGAAATGTAAGTGTTATTCGTTTTTAGTCTACTAGTAAAGTAGACTAGTAGTTATTCGTTTTTAGTCTACTAGTAAAGTGGTTTTTAAATTTTGTTCTGTGAGCTCCAGCTTTTGTAACAGGGCTTCAGAGCTCTTGTGTAGGTGAAGGGTTAGAGCTCTGGGTTTGCCTCTCACTCAGCCAGAGCAGACTTCATTGTTACCTCCTTTACATTCAGGTGTGTGAGTGTGTGTATGAGGAAAGGGAACAATTTCAACTGCTAAACACAAAAATGTTTTAGCTGACAATATTGCTGTTCATCTTTAAAACTTTTTGAAAACATATATGAAGATATATATTTCTATCAACATTAAGTATGAAATAGTGTACTCCATCCTGTAAAATGTGAAATTTCAGCCCCTTCCTCTTTACCACTCAGTTTTTGTTGAAATGGTCTAGAAATTTAGATCTCAATCTTTGTAATACATTTTGACATTATGTATTTTCTC